AATAGCTAAGCAAAGCTACGTCAGGGACTTTTCGGTTTGAATCAACCATGAAATCACTCAGTGGCCCTTTTGCAAATTATTCTTTCTCAGGTTGTCTCATTATCTGCTTTAGAAGGGGAAAGGGGGAGGACACCATAGATTTGATATCGCTATCTTATTGGAAGTGTTATAAAGATTATAATGAGGTAATGCCTGTGAAGTCCCTGCAACACAGAAGAATACTCAAATGTTTCTTCCTGGGAAGAAACCGTGAATTGAAGATGGCTCTGCCCAAAACATTTGGAACATCACTCGAACTCTATTGACATTGACAAAATTACCATCAGTCAGTTGCTAAAGGCAGCTTTTGGAATAACATTTCCTGCAATAGTACCTTTAACACCATCAAATAACATCTGTCTATCCTGGGTCCTTATAAGAGCCAGAAAAGCCAATTGCATTAGATTAGATTAGATTAGATTAGATTAGATTGCATTAACAGAGGGATAAAATCAACATCACATGAAGTATTAGTACCATTTCATAAAGTCTTAGTAAGAGCACACCTGGAATACTGCATACAGTTTTGGTCATCATATTATTAAAAAAAAATGTTGAGACTCTGGAAAGAGAGCAGAAAAGAGCAACAGAGATGATTAGGAAGTTGGAGGCTAAAACATGTGAAGAACATTTGCAGGAATTGGGTTTGTCTAGTGAAAAGAAGGACTAGGGGTGACATGATAGCAGTCTTCCAATATTGGAGGGGTTACCACAAAGAAGAGGGGGTCAACCTATTTTCCAAAGCAACAGAAGGCAAGACAAGAAACAATGGATGGAAACTGATCAAGGAGAGAAGCATCCTAGAACTAAGGAGAAATTTCCTAACAGCGAGGACAATTAACCAGTGGAACGGCTTGCCTTCAGAAGTTGTGGGTACTTCATCACTGGAGGCTTTTAAGAAGAGACTGGACAGCCACTTATCTGGAACGGTCTAGGGTCTCCTGCTTGAGCAAGAAGTTGGACTAGAAGACCTCCAAGGTCCCTTCCAACTGTTATTCTATATTCAAAGGACTTGATAGGAGGATAAAAATGCCAAATCCAGTCTAAGCATCTGGCTGTGTGATGAATTATAATAATAATATACTTTCCAATTGTTTACATGCCTTCTCCTAGAAAATACAGTTCTCCTGAAATAAATGCAGCCATCAAGGCAAACATGGTGAATTTATATGTCCATGTTTTAAAACCGGCAGTCCTTGACTTACATCCACATTGAGCCCAAAATTTCTATTGGTAAGTTAAATATTTGTTAAATGAGTTTTGCCCTTTTTTATGATTTTTCTTGTCACCTTTGTTAAGTGAATCACTGCAATTGTTAAGTTAGTAACACAGTTGTTAAGTGAATCTGGCTTCCCTATTGACTTTGCTTGTTCGAAGGTTGCAAAAGATGATCACATGACTCGGGGACACTGCAACTATCATAAATATGAGTCAGTTGCTAAGTATCTGAATTTTGATCACATGACCTTGGGGATGCTGCAATGGTCATAAGTGTGAAAACTGGTCACTTTTTTCAGTGCTGTTGTAATTTCAAACAGTCACTAAATGAAGTTTTGTAAGTCGAGGATTTCCTGTATAAGTGCTCCACAAAAATCAAACAAATCATAATTACTGTTTTCAATGCAGAAAATCAAAAATCAAACAAATCATAATTACTGTTTTCAATGCAGAAAACAGTCGGGCAATGGATAAGAACAGCTTTGTTTTAAAGGTTTACTTTCCCAGATTTCAGTTATTATTAAAACTGGAAATGGAAGGCATGAAAATCTGCTCACATCACCTTTCCTTAATCTGATTTTCCAGGAAGGGTCAAAAGGTTGAAGGCTCTCCCTGCAAAAAGACAATACAAATGTTAGCTTTTTGATTACAGAGATAGTTGTGCTTTGTCAATCCAGGGATAGGCACAGACTCAAGTGTATTGTACCAACTTCTTCCTACCTTATAAGTAGAAGGTATGAGAGGTCACTACTCTGACTCAGTGTGTGCATAAAACCAAACTGTAAAAGTAAGCTGTGTGCAACAGAACTGATTCAGATAACTCATCCATATCTGCAAAGTTTAATCTGATTCCGAGAAACTCAAAAAGTAAGGTTTTACATTTAGGCAAGGAAAACCAAATGCACAGGTACAGATTAGGCGAAACCTGGGTCAACAGCAGTAACTGCGAGAGGGATCTTGAAGTCCTAGTGGACAGTCATTTAAATATGAGCCAGCAGTGTGAGGCAGCAGCCCAAAACGCCAATGCAATCATAGGCTGTATTAACAGAGAGATAGAATCAGAATCATGTGAAATATTAGTGCAGCTATATTAAAGCCTTAGTGAGACCACCCTTAGATTATTGCATCCAGTTTTGGTCTCCATGTTATAAAAAGATGTTGCTTTTCTGGAAAGTGCAGAGAAAAGCATCAAAAGATGATTAGAGGACTGGAGGCTAAAAGATATGAAGAACGGTTGCAGGAATTGGGCCTGTCTACTCTAGTGAAAAGAAGGACTAGGGGTGACATGATAGCAGTATTCCAATATTTGAGGGGCTGCCACAAAGAAGAGAGGGGTCAAACTATTGTCCAAACCACGAGAAGGCGAGACAAGAAGCAATGGATGGAAACTAATCAAGGAGAGAAGCAACCAAGAACTAGGGAGAAATTTCCTGACAATGAGAAAAATTAATCAGTGGAACGGCTTGCCTCCAGATGTTGTGGGTGCACCATCACTAGAGGTTTTTAAGAAGAGACTGGACAGCCATTTGTCCATAATGATATAAGGTCTCCTGCTCAAGCAGGATGTTGGACTAGAAGACCTCCAAGGCCTCTCCCAACTCTGTTATTCTGTCATTCTACCTCGGGGGGCTCAAAAAAAGCAGAGTGGCAGCTACAACTGTATGATTGAAACCCAACTACTTTTCCATGTGTGGTCTATGGGGATTTTCCCAATAAAAGGCAAGATCTTTTCTAATAGGGTCCCAACAGTATCTGCTTAATTTCTAACAATCATTCTCTCCCTCTCTTTCTCTCTGTGTAAGCACTGTAAATCCTTACTATTTGGCTTCAAAAGTAATGACAATGGATAAAATCATCCCAAATGCAGTGTGAATGAAAGTGATTGACTGCATAACAGACCTCTATTTGTGAAATATTCAGGTAGAGGAATTTCTAGGGACACCCTATATTGTTTCCCCAATCCATCTTCTTTCCAAATATATTTGCACCCTCAGAGGCATTTCTCAGTCAGTAACAGACAGTTTTAAGTTAGCTTTTTGACATGATGGGTGCTCCATGTTCCAAGTACAAGGTAGGTGTGCTGCAGCTGTGGGCAACATCTAACCTGCAACATCTGGAGGGCTACAGTTTCCACACTTTGGCACATAAACTTGCAGCACATAAACTTGCAGCACTCTCTCACTAAGATTGAACCAAACAAATTCCTTGATGGGTAGCTCAGAACAAGTATGCCACAAACTCTAAAACAGAGGTCACCAACATTTCTTGGTTGGTGGACCAGAGGAAAAGGGAGGGGGAAGCATTTTACACACGCATGCATGGTGCATGGGGCCGTAAGCACATGCGTGACACAAACAGGGCGAGGCTAGCACTTGCGTGATACTCGCTAGCCCTGCCCCACTCTTATGTGGCACAGCACCCTGTTTCCGCCCATTTTTGTGTCCTGAGGCATGGCGTCAGTCCATTTTTGTGCCCCACAACACAACAATGTCCTGTTTTTGCATCCTGAGGTGTGGCATCAGCCCATTTTTGTGCCCAGCAGCAGGGTGGTGTCCTATTTTTGCACCCCGAGGTGCGGCATCGGCCCGTTTTTGCACCCAGCGGCAGGGTGGCATCCTGTTTTTGCACCCTGAGGCACAGCATTGGCCCGTTTTCACACCCAACACACAGCGGCATCCTGTTTTCGCACCCTAAGGTGCAGCGTCCTGTTTTCACGCCCCGCAGCTGCGGCGGTAGCATGAGTGGGGTGGGATGTGCGCACATGTGCACGCACTGGCCAGCCTGTCCTGCGGCCTAGTGGCCAGTAGGCCATGGCCCACTACCGGGCCATGGCCCACAAGTTGGGGACCCCTGCTCTAGAAGACCAAGCATTATAAAATCCTGCCTGACAATAAACTTNGATGGCTCTCTGGTTAGACAGAGGATTCCAAGCAGGAGATGCTGGAACTTGCCTACAGAAGGCAAAGCTGTTGTCTCCATACTTTATAGCCCAAGCAAGCCTCCTGCCTTCACACATCATGAAATATGCTGCCCTACCACCAAACCTGAAGGAAAGTTCTTCTCCCAGTCCAGACTTCGCATCTCCACCTGGTGTGCTTTCCACTTTTATCTGGACTTTATTTTCAAGCTGCAAAATGCTTTGGGCCAACTCTGCCTGAGCTGTTAACAAATAAAGGAAAAAGAAAAGAAAAACAAAGAAAGCAACTGCCACAGATGACATAAATAAAGTGGCTGATTTGGGGGATTCCCTCCCCTCTCTTTTTTTCCCTTTCTCAGAATTAAAAGTAGGCAAGTAGCAAAACTGTTTTCTTTCCCACCTGTAATGCCTCCAGGACCCTGAAACTGCAGTGTCAAAATGCATTAATTTTGGCACCCAAAATTAGCAGCACAATTTGGGGGCATTTTTGATATTTTCAAGGGGGAATGATGATTTCAGGGTGGGAATGGAAGACTTTGCCTCCCAGAAGCTTTTTTTTCCCATTGATGTTCTGATTCTCTTGATGGCATTTTCCATCTTCCCAAAGGTTAGAAGGTGCTCCATTTTTCTCACCTTGTGTTCCTTTATCTGGAGTTACCCTTCACTCCCACAAGCACACATACGTATATTCCCAAGAAAAGTTAGAAAGAGAGAGAGAGAGAGAGAGAGAGAGAGAGAGAGAGAGAGAGAGAGAGAGAGAGAGAGAGAGAGAGAGAGAGAGAGAGAGAGAGAACACTAATGTGTAGTTGGTATATTTTGTTCCAAGGTTGACCGGTACCTGTATCAGATGCGCCTTTCTGATGATATTTTACACGATGTGATGACTCGCTTCCAAGCAGAGATGGCAAAAGGTCTAGGAAGAGATACCAATCCGACAGCTACAGTAAAAATGCTACCAACTTTTGTGAGGTCACTTCCTGATGGTTCAGGTAAGGCCTTTCTTTTAATCCAACAGGTTGTCATCATTCAATTAGCGACCATCATAAGTTACAATGGCAGTTACAAGTTACAATTGGTCCTTGCACTTATACCTGTCACAGCATCCCCAGTCATGTGATCAAAATTTGGGTGCTTGGCAACTGGCATGTATTTATAATGGTTGCAGTGTCCTGGGTTCATGTGATCACCATTTATGCCCTTCCCAGTTGGTTTCTGACAAGCAAAGTCAATGGGTGAAGCCAGATTTGTTTAATAACCACTATCACTATCATGTCCTCATTGTACCTGTCATGGCTCCATCTCACCTATCCAAGCTTCATGAGCTGACAGCCTGGTTGGGGCAGGGGTGGGGTGGGGAGGAGGGAAAGATTAGAATGTAAGGAAGAAATGGGGGTGGGTGGGGGATGGAAGCCCAGCTGAGCCTTGTGAGAAGCTACAGCCAGGTAAGGTCAACTAACAATATATAGAGCTAGGACCCGAGCAGCTGTTTCCTAAACAATATACAAGCACCTGATTGGACATTTGCAGACAACTGGGGGATGTTGGGAGGAGGGGGAGGAAATCTCAGCATACCAGGATCCTTCTGACATAGAAGATCTTAAACCAATAGCTTAAGTCTCAAATGATTTCTTGGTATTGTGACACCTTTAATGTTTGTGATGAAAGTCCACAATGAAGTTCTACTCATAGTCTTGGGACAGTATTCACCTGATAGATTCATTGCCTGGGGAACCACAAGCAATTGGTCTTTTAAGAAACTTGTATGTCTTTATAGATGGCAACAGCAGTAGCATCTACAGTGGTGGGATTCAAATATGTTGTCTGTGTGGATGCCACTTCCGGAAGTCCATTCTGGGCCTGGGCAACAAAAAATTAGCTACCAATTCTGCCGAAGTGGTGCGAACTGGCTGAATCCCACCACTGCTTATATACCACTTCACAGTGCTGTACAGCCCTCTCTGAGCAGTTTACAAAGTCAGCATATTGCCCCCAACAATCTGGGTCCTCGTTTTACTGTCCTTGGAAGGGTGGAAGGCTGAGTCAACCTTGAGCCAGTGAGAATCAAACTGATGGCAGTCAGCAGAATGAGCTTTGCAATACTGCATTTTAATGACTGCATCACCACAGCTCATGTTTTCGTACTAAAATGTTGTATAAATGTTTTTGTAGACAAAATGTAGGCTCATGGGTCTGTAGACTAGAGGCTCTTCAAACATGGCAGCATCCAATAGCCCTATCCAATCTCTATATAAAAAAAACTATTGAGGTTCAAGAAGCATCATTTGGCAAGAATTTGTAGAAGAATTAATCATTACTCACTATTACTTCACTATTACAGAAAAAGGAGAGTTCCTCGCTTTGGACCTGGGTGGTTCCAAATTTAAAGTCCTACATGTTAAAGTAGCTGAAGAAGGAAAACAACATGTACAAATGGAGAGTCAGTTCTACCCAACACCTAAAGAAATCATACAGGGAAGTGGAACAGATGTAAGTAGCGTATTGCTTTGAGATTTGTATCCCTTTGAGATCTGTTCTTATGGATTCCTGGATTTTGAGGCATGACATACATGAATACTGCATCATATAACACTTCCTGTTTAATCATTGCAAACTCTGGATATTTCAATAGGAGTTGCTGCATTCAACTCAGTGGATAATAGTATCTGCAAATGGACTTCCTAAATCTGTGATTTCTAGTTGGTGTAAGATTCTTGAGAGCAGGAATCCTACCTTCAGATATATTCCTGTGGTTTTACAGATAAATTTATCAGATTCTCCCCTGGATAGCAGAGTCATGGAACCTCTAGGACAGATATGTTAAACTCACGACGTAACGTGATGTTGCGCGACATATTGGAGATTTTTCCCCATTGCCGGCAATGGGGTGGGCGCGGTTTCATTGTGACACGTCCGGCCCGCGGGCCGGCAGTTTGACACCCCTGCTCTAGGATGTTTTTCAGTCTCAAGGGGAACTTCTACATACCTGAAGTTGAGGGTACGACCGATCTCTTAAAATCTTCAACTTCAAGTATGTAGAATTTTCTCCCACTCTAACTTTTTGTAACGAACATTCTCCTACCAGACTACAGTCAATTGTTGAGAAAGAGAGATCAACCTCTCGAGTTTATTACTTTCATTGTATCACATTCAAGACGGTAGAAGGTCCATCCTGCCATCAAAAGCTAGGGCTGAGGGGGCAAGGGGGGACAAATAGGCAATAAACATGTATGGGGATGTGATGGGAAATAGGGAGGGGGAGATGACATCTTGATGAAGATCAGGGAAGCATAGAACCAGTTTGTACCAGTATTCAAGGCCACAAACCCTGAGAATGGAATGTGGATTGTCCCAAACATCTCAGCAAGTTTCAAAACACCCATGTGGCTCTTCATTGGCTGAAGAGGGATTGGTCATGGGGAGAGGGCTGGGATGAGGGGGAAAATGTATAATCTTTTGCGCAGGAATCTTAGTTCTAGCCTGACTTTACTGTAACCAGCAACCTTTAGTAAAAGAACCTATCATTTTACCCAAATGGAGTTGAGGGTCTTTCTTTCCTAAGGGACCTGACTGGGGCAGGTCTTACACATAGATTTTCCACCTATATTAGCATTGCAGTTCCTGATGGCTACAAATTCTGAGAGATTACAGCTCCAAATATCTGGAGGTTGATCATATTAATTTACACTGATGTAGGAAGACATATTTTAGCTGGATTCAAGGATTTCGAGTTTTGCTTACATGCTTAAGAATTAACTATATAGATAATTGATAATATTGTTTTGTCTCTTCTTCAGTGTGAGCTGCCTAGAATCTTTATGTGGAAGGAAATACAAAAAGCATTTTGTATTAATCATTATGTGATATTATTGGTCCATTAAAATAATATTTAGCCTGTGTTCCTTTCCAGCTATTTCAATACGTGGCCGACTGTCTTGCAGACTTTATGGAAACAAAGGATATAAAATATAAGAAATTACCTCTTGGTTTTACCTTTTCTTTTCCCTGTAGGCAGAATAAATTAGAGGAGGTAAGTGTAACCCTATATACTGTATTATAAGTAGAGTAAAATTATTAACTAGGATAGTTAGTAAATTATTGGTAATAAATTACTTACTACCAAAATAATTTTAACCAGTGTTTCTTAACTCTGACAACTTGAAAATGTGTGGACTTCAATTCCCAGAATTCTGCTTTAAAGCGTGCAAGCTAATGTAACAGTATGATATATCAATTAGTTTTTCAGCCTAATCTAATCTAGTAACTTACTTTTAAACAACCTGTAAACGGGCTGAAATTGAGAGGATGAGGATCTATGCCATCCATACCCCTGTCTGAAAAGAACTGAATGGTGCTTGAGGAAAAGGAAGCCATTTGGTGCTGTTCCAGTCCCATGTATTTTCTCAGACATTGGTATAGAATAGGGAATCTGGGCTCTTTTAGGAATCATTAAACTTTAAGATCTTACAACTCGACCAAGAAAAAGTTTGGAGTTTTCCATGGTGCTCCACTTTCTTTTGAAAAATTCACCATTACTTAAACATTTCAATCAGAATAGAGCTGGAAGGGACCTTGGAGGTCTTCTAGTCCAGCCCCCTGCCCAAGCAGGAGATTCTATACCTTTTCAAACAAATGGCTGTCCAGTCTCTTCTTAAAGACCTTCAGTGATGAAGCACCCACAACTTCTGAAGGTAAGCTGTTCCACTAGTTAATTGTCCACACTGTTAAAAAGTTTCTCCTTAATTCCAGGTTGCTTCTCTCCTTGGTTTCCATCCGTTGTTTCTTGCCCTTCCGTTGATTGGTTTCCATCCATTGTTTCTTGCCCTGCCCTCTGGTGCTTTGGAAAATAAGTTGACCCCCTCATCTTTGTGGCAGCCCCTCAAATACTGGAATACTGCTATCATGTCACCCGTAGTCCTTCTTTTATCGAGTGATAAAAATTATGATTTTATCGAGTCACTCTTGCTGAGTCACCAGTCACAAACATTCATGGGTTTACATCAACATTGTCTAATTTATTATCATTAATAATTGCTCTTTTGGTAGGGGGTTCTTCTTTCATGGACAAAACATTTTAAAGCCCGAGGAGTACAACAGACTGATGTGGTGAGCAATCTCTGCAAAGCCCTCAGGAAACACAAGGCAAGTTCAACAGGATATGTTTTCTGAATAATCTGTGTTTCAGCTGCAATGTGTATATTGTTAATTGATATATATATGCTGAGTAGAAGGAGAGCGGTGTTGGTCTACAGTGGCAAAACAATCAGGATTCTGATAGCAGCAGTTCAGACTGTTTTTATTAACAGGCATAAGCTGATGCTTTTTAATATAATGGGCATGTTGGAAAAGGTGCTACCAGATTTCTTTGGATGTGCATGCTGAATCTGACACATACAAAAATTGTCCTGTTCATTATTTCAAAACTAAACAACCCGTGACCCCTTGAGTCATCCTTTCAGAGATATTTCCTCACCAGATTCATCAATGCCTTCCCCAATACAGAGCTTCTGATGTACTGGAAAAGTTCTTAAAAATTCAGGGAGATATTCAATGATATATCTGCCTTGGAAGTAGCCCATGTTGAACTGTATAGCACAATCATACCACCGGATTTGACCATAGGAAATGTTTTATAACATTTTGTATTATGTCATAAAATACTTTATTATAATTTTTATGTCATAAAATGGTTTATAACATTTGCCAAATTTCAGTTCCACAGGAGTCATGAGTCCCAGATTTCAGATACATTTCTGTAAGTCAGCCCATTTGAGTACTGTTCTGACCCAGAGTTAAGTTGCTTTGTAAATCCAGGTCAGACAGATAAACTCAATAAGAATGATTTTAAAACAGATATATTTTATTCAGAGATACTTGCAGTTATGGTTGTTGCTTCTGGATATTACACATCTGTTCATCCTTATAGGTGAGAAATTAATGCTTCCTCCATACCAACTCCTAACGTGGAGTGGAGCCTTTTAAGACCTCCGATGGCCCCATGCTTAACTCAGACAAAGAACATTCCAAACTGGCTCGTGGCCAGGATATCCTGCTATGCACTTTAGAAACTCCTCCCACTGAACTACTAACATGATATAGCTGACTAGCTAAAACTACATTACCCATAAGCCATCTCTTAAGGAGACAGCACTTAACCCAATAAATGCCAGACATTCTAACATACAGATCTACATGCTCTAGTCAGGGTTACACGATCCAGAACAAGTACCTTGGTTCAAAAATGGTTGCTCTATTATGCTCTATTTCACCGAAAGGATACAGATATGAGAGTTTTAACAGTATTTACATGGTTTCTCCTACACTTTGATTTATTTATGGACAGGAATTTATTTGTAATATAAGCCTGATAATTTGACTTTTTTGCCATTGTTGAAATTCCTGACCTTTGGTTATCTGGAGTTACCAGTGACCAATATTCTAGGAATACCAGTGACCCTGCTCATTAGCAGCTCTGTGCAATAATATAACAATATTGATTGTATAAAGCAAACTCATGTGATGTCATTAGTTACTTTAAAAAAAATTAGAGTTGTTGAAAAGCATTGGAGATTTTCAAGAAAAGATTGGACAACCATTCTTTGTCCAGAATGGTATAAGGACACCTGCCTTAAGCAGGGGGTTGAACTAGAAGACCTCTGAGGTCCCTTCCAGCCTTATGATTCTATGATTTTTTTTGTACCAAAACAATCTTTAATTTAAAAAAAAATTAAAGAAAAAGTACAAACTAAAAATATAAACTGAGGAAGAAAAGTGAATTCACTACTATAATATAAATAATGCATAGATATTATTGTAAGATATCATAGACTCGCTGCCATAGGAGAGCCAGTTTGGTCTTGTGGTTAAGGTACCAGGCTAATGTTGAAAGAAAAATCTTCATCAGGGTCCAGTCCAAGCTGGGAATAAACAAAATGGAGACTGCTTTGGAAAAAAGGTTGTAGTTTACTGAGAGGAGAGCCAGACAGAAAGATGGCTCTTGGAAAGCTGAACACATGTAGTTGGGAGTGGTGGGTTTTTATACCTTCTTGAGCTTTTGTTTGGAGTTGTTGAACTTTGTTGAACTTTGTTTGGAGGCATGAACTTTGACCTGAGTCTGAGTGTGCCTTTCTGGTATTCTGATTGTGGTGGGTTAATCCTATTATGTCCCAAAGGTCATATCCTGCTTCCCTGGGTGTGTGGCTGATGGCTATGCCCTATGCTGGATTTTTTTGGGTGGGAGGGATTGTTGATTCTAGAGATCTTTGTCTTTCTAATCCAAGCTTCCTAGCTCCAATCTTTCTGACAAGATTATCACATCTGCATTTCTGCAGACCTGGTTTCTATTTGGGGCAGAGAGACTTGGGGAGGGGTTGGGAGGTTCTGCCTTTAAAATCCTTTGGGGAAATATTCTGCCTTTTGATATTCCCCAAAATATTTCTTTCTCTGGGAGAGGGGCTGACTTCCCACTCTAGAAAGCGGCAGACCGTGAGTTCAAGTCCTGTCTTAGCCATGAAAACCAGCTGGATGACTTTGGTCCAGTCACTTTCTCTCAGCCCAAAGACTGAGGGTTATTGTTGTGTGAGGAAAATAGGAAGAGGAAAGTGTGTTAGATATGTTTGCTGCCTTGAGTTATTTGTAAAAATAATAATAAAGCTGGGATACAAACAAATAAATAAATAAAAATAGTGCTGCACCCTTATTAGTAGAAAATACTTTATTGCCTTTCCAAAACAAATGGATGAATAGATCTTAATTAATTATATGGTTCTCTTTTATTTGTGCCATTAGGACATTGATATAGAAGTTTTGGCATTGGTCAATGACACAGTGGGAACAATGATGACCTGTGGATATGATGACCAGCGATGTGAAGTTGGTGTCATTATTGGTAAGTTTATATTCTTTTAATAAGAAGACAGGATCAAACCAGCTAATGTTAAGACTTTTATTCCAGAAGTTTAATTTGAATCAATTATAGATATCTTTTTAAAAATCTTTTAATAATTCAATCATGGCATTACGCTCTAGTCTAAGACATTTATTTTATAAAATGAGATTAAGAGCTCAGTTTATCATTGTTTTGATGAAAATGACTAATCTTGGTTAATTGGGTTTTTATATGGTTGTTTGAATACAGGTAGTCCTTGACTCACAACCGGTTGCTTAGCGACCGTTTGAAGTTACAATGGACCTTCCAAAAAGGTACCACATTCAAAGTTTTGGTGACTGTCCCCACTTTGGGTGCTCGGCAACTGGCCCATTTTATGGCCGTTTACAGTGTCCTGAAGTCACATCACCACAACACACATTTTTTGCTGAAAAATGGCATTTACTTCTGATTTCTGGCAAAAAACACCCATTGCAGACAATGACCATCACAAAAAAAAAGTGTTAGGAAATTAGTCACATGATAACCTGCTTAACAGCTGGCATGACTTATAACCATAATTTCAAGCTCAATTAGGCCTGTAAGTTGAGGACTGCCTGTACTGGCTGGTATCTTGCTGGAATCTTGACAAACTTGAACACTGCACCCTACCCAACAAAAGGGAACTCAGTGGTGATCAAAGTGAAGTTTTACACTTAGGCAAGAAAAACCAAATACACAAGCATAGACTAGGTGGTATCTGGCTCAATAGCAGAAACTGTGAAAGGGATCTAGGCAGTGGTCGGATTCAAATATGTGAACAACCGGTTCTCTGTGTGGATGCCATTTCCGGAAATCCATTCTGGGCCTGGGCAACAAAAAATTAGCTACAGGTTCTGCCGAAGTGGTGCGAACCGGCTGAATCCCACCACTGGATCTAGGAGTCCTAGTGGTCAGCCACTGAAGTAGGAGCCAGCAGTGTGCTGCAGCTGCCAAAATAGCCAGTGCGGTCCTAGGCTCATCAACAGAGGGATTGTATCAAGAGCACATGAAATGTTAGTACCACTTCATACGGCTTTGGTAAGAGCAACCTTGGAATACTGTCTCTAGTTTTGGCCACCATGATACAAAAAATATATTGAGATTCTAGAAAGTGTACAGAGAAGAGCAACAAAACTGAATAGGGGGCTGGAGGCTAAACTGTATGATAAATGGTTAAAGGAATTCGGTATCTCTAGCCTATCGAAGAGAGAATTATGTGTGACAGTATTTTTTCAGTATTTGAGGGGCTATCACAGGGGAAAGGGGGTCAATTTATTCTCCAAGGCACCCGAAGGCAAGACAAGAAGCAACGGATGGAAACATGTCAAAGAGAGTTCCAACCTAAAACTAAGGAGAAATTTCCTGATAGTGAGAACAATTAATCAGTGGAATAACTTGCCACCAGAAGTCATGGGCGCTCCATCACTGGAGGTTTTTAAGAAGAGACTGGACAGTCATTTGTCCAGAATAGTATAGGGTCTCCTGCTTGAGCAAGAGGTTGGACTGGAAGACCTCCAAGGACCCTTCCAACTCTGTTATTCTATATTCCAGAATTGCAAATTTGTTTCAAGCTGTGCCTCCCCCACCAATCTTGTTATCGGGCACATCATGCATATAGTTTTGAAAAGCATTTTAGATTGAGGTGTGGGAGTGAAGTAAGCTGTTTATTCATCTCTCTGTTTTTTCCATCTTTCAAAATATGATGACTGAGCAGGAACAGGCACCAACGCTTGCTATATGGAAGAGATGAGCAATATTGATCTAGTAGAAGGGGATGAAGGCCAGATGTGCATTAACACTGAATGGGGAGCCTTTGGAGATGATGCATCTCTGGAAGACATCAGGACAGAGTTTGACAAGGAGATTGACTCTGGGTCAATAAATCCTGGAAAACAGTTGTAAGTGGAGTTGTCAGGTTGTTGAAAACTTTCCTTCTACTAAGGTAGCAAATGAGGCCAGTGTTTCTCAACCTTGACAACTTTAAAATGTGTCTTCAACTCCCAGAACCCTCCAGTTATCTCGCTGAGGAAATTCTGGCAGTTGAAGTCCATATATCTTAAAGTTGCCAAAGTGGAGAAACACTGAATTAGGCATACATTGGAACAGAAATTGCATTGAATAAGTTTATTTATTTACTTGTAAACACAGTAACTCTGAGTTTAGCTCTAAGAATTGGTGTAATTAGTGGAAGTGTTTTATAAAAGAACTGGAGAGAGCTGGAGTCCAAATAACTTGGTAAGTCCTATATTCCAAAGGCCTTTTAAAGAGATCTATACTGGCTTTTGGTTCAGATAATTTGCAAATTGATGGACTAAAAAACCCCCAAACAAATGGCTGAGAACAGTGATGTGCATAAACTGAAGTAGTATTTCTCAGTTTTGGCAACTTTAAGATGTGTGGACCTCAATTCCCCCAATTCCCTTGCCAGCCAGCCATTTTGGGAGTTGAAGTCCACACATCTTAAAGTTGCCAAGGTTGAGAAACATTGTGGTAAACTGACCACCAACCGACACATTTCAGGCATTTGGCATATTATTTTTCCAAAGTGCAAAAATACCATCACTGAAATAACTCCAAAATATCAGATGTATGTATTTTAAAAGACATGTTTTTGAAAAGGAAACTTTCATTTGGTGAAATGAAATTTGTCATCTGTTGTGATTATGTAATGGAAGATTTTCATTGAAGGCCATTTAAACATGAAATGTTGTTTGAGCTTCACCATTTTAACTTTTCTGATACCTCTCTACAAAGATATATCTGACATTTGACTGTTCTCTATTTGAATATAGGTTTGAGAAGATGATTAGTGGATTATATCTGGGAGAACTGGTCAGGCTTATCCTTTTAAAAATGGCAAGAAAAAACTTGCTTTTCAGTGGGAAGTTATCCACAGCACTCTGTACTAAGGGCAAGATTGAGACAAGACACATGGCCGCTATGGAAAAGTAAGAGATTTGAGTCTACAGTATTCTTTTATTCTTTTAGTCTTCATTATCTTAAAAGCTGAACCGGTAAGCATGTAAAATTATATTTGTTCTTAAAAAACTCCTGAGAGTTTTGCTCTCATGGATTAACACAGTTATTTCCCTGGAGATATTTCCTTCTGTTCTCTTGAAAGTTAACTAAATACATTGTCCAAAGTGAGTTGGCTGCTTTAAGTAGCAGGTTTGGGCTTCAATTCTATCACTAGAGCCACAGGCAATAGATCTTAGGTCAGGGGTCTTCAAACTCGGCCCTTTTATGACTCATGGAATTCAACTCCCAGCATCCCTCAGCCAGCCTGCCTGAAGAATTCTGGGAGTTGAAGTCCATGAGTCATAAAAGGGCCGAGTTTGAAGACCTCTGCCTTAGGTATTTATGCAAGAATAGCAGATGTTTTTTAAAGAAATCAATAATTAATTGACTTAATAGTGGTATTTTTCCTGGCAGAAAGCAAGGGAGGGATTTGTGAGATTACTTTTTTTTATTGGGGGGGGTGTCAGGTGCTCACTTGGATATCTATGCAAAATAGAAAAGATAATACAGATAGTCCTCGACTTACAATCATTAGTGACCGTTCAAAGTTACAATGGCACTGAAAAAGTGTCTTATGACCGTTTTTCACCCTTATGACTGTCCCTATAGTCACGTGATCAAAATTCAGATGCTTGCAACTGATAGCTGCAGTGTCCCGGAGTCATATGATCACATTTTACGAACCTTTTGACAAGCAAAGTCAATGGGGAAACCAGATTCATCTAACAGCTGTTGTGTTACTAACTTAACAACCACAGTGATTCACTTAACAATTGTGGGAAAATTCATGTAATAACTGTCTCGCTTAGGAACAGAAATTTTGGGCTAGGTTGTGGTCATAAAAGGAAGAATAACGTGTAAAACACCGTTACTGTCCTGAACATGGCAAGCAGACCTGGTTGGCACTGATTTGAGAATAGCATAGTTCTGTCCTCAGCTTTAGCTGCTGCTAAATCATTCTGATTCTCCAAAGTCATCTCTGTGACTCTCTACAAAGAACTCTCTGTGTGTGTATGTGTGTAAAAATCAAGATAGCTATGAATGCATGATCAAACAGCATTCAGAAAGGGCCCTCCTGCAGCATAATTTTTGTATATATATATATATATATATATATATATATATATATATATATATATATATATATATATATATATATATATATATATATATATATATATATAAATATTAAGTGTATATATATATAAATATTAAGTATATATATATATATAAATATTAAGTATATATGTATGTGTGTATATAGGGAGTTCAGACAGATTGGTCTGATTGTGAACACCTTGACATTTTTCAACTGCCATACTGCAGTTTACTCTTTTAACAATATATTTTGCCTTGCCGCCCCCAACTAGGGGCATAGAGCAGGCTCAAGTCGCAACTGCGAAGTATTTTTATATCCAAATTTCTTTTTTTTCTGACAAAGAGTAAAGAATTAAATTGGGAGACTAAGATGGACCATTTCTGGCTTTTTTGCCTTCATCAGTTAGCCATACCCTTTATGGGATTCGAACCTGGGCAGTTATACATACTAGTCAGTGATTTAGTCACTGAGCCACAGGTTCTCTTCCCCTCTTTTGCCAGCAGAGTCAAG